CAGTCTTCACAGAGGGGAAGGAACATCAAAGTGTAAAAAAGTCAAGAGGGGGGGGGGGAGGAATAGAAGAGTGTATCAAAAACGAAGGTAGATAAGGTGGGAAAAAGATGGGATGAGTACCGTGAAGTAGTCGAATATGACATACAGTGGGGTCATGGTAGTTTGAAGTCAACTGCCAGGTAATAGACTTTAGTTGCCGTATGAGTATACGTTGCCCAGGGTGCACCACGTGGAGGTAAGTCTATCACTCACCCCGAAAGGGATAAATAAGCGGCCATATTGAATTTTTTTCTGAGACGCTTACTACTATTTCGTGAATATTTTCGGATTCTTAGCTGGAACTACATAATTCGGAACAACCGATGCTCGAATTCTGCCCTAAAGTTCATGAGATTATTTAGTTACAACAACACTTTTCCACCCTGATGAATCATTCAATTGTCCCTTCCAGGTAGATACTACTTGGCAATGGTATTTTGACTCTCAAGGAGTGTCTAGAGATGTTGAAATCCTTTCAACAACGAAATATGCTTGTGATTTGTTACAAACCGGAATTGTTGATATTAATTGCTGCAGATGCTTGAATTTAAGTTATCGGAGCAGAAAGAACTGTGGCTCAGCGATCCCGCTCGATCGCACCAACAGAAGAGAATTTTAGAAAGAAGCATTTGTCATTTTATAAAAATTTGCTTTCGGTCGTTATTTAGCACTATTGAAAGACTGCGAACTTTCTTATCGACTTTTTGGATCCAAGATCGTAATTTTAACATATTTAGCGAACCGTCATTAGCACTGGCAATAATCTCGACAGAGTGGGGGGTTCGAAATAGACTTGCCTCCACGTGTGGCGCACCTTGAGCAACGTGAACTCATATGGCAAACAAAGTCTATGAACCGGCAGTTGACTTCTGACTTCAAACTGGCATGATCCGACTGCATACCATATTCCACCACTTCAACAGTACTCACTTTACCTTTCTTCTCTTCCTTTGTATCTGTCTCTTTTTCATCTGTGAATCACGCCTCTGTTCTCCCTCTCTACTTTTTGTAACTTTGATGTTTCTCCTCCACTCTGCGAAGCCCGAAGTCAATCATCAAAGGTCTAATGATAGAAATCATAAAGCCTGCCATATGATATAAGTAAATGATCTCGACGGGAAATGAATCGGAAATCAAATATCCGAAGTCCATTGATTTCGAACACGCTGATACATTATCTTTGTTACTTTGGAATCAACAAACAACTATCGATGAAACCTCCATCGTCAACCTATATCCGGAAAGGATATATACAGCATTATGACAGAGTATATCCAGAATACTCTTGTCACGGCGTCATAGTTAAATTGTGGTTTAGGGAAACAATCAGTCATTAGGAAAGCCACGAAATCTTTGGAAACGAAATGGCCATCATCATCATTAAAAGGAGGCACCTATGATCTGTTCAATCGTTGTTAGACATTATCTATTACCAGCTCCCGTATGATGGTTAATGAGATAATTGTCCTACAGGATGCTATTGGGCAAAGCGTCCTTAAAAAATTTCACTCTAGTTGTTAGGCAAAGGATATGAACATTGTCCGGGGAATGTACAAAGGTATAAAACTGTTTAGTAAAGAATGTCCCAAACACAAGATAGCTGTTCCTTAGCCTACAACGAAGACACAATGGAGTAGATTGTGGTCTAGTTAGAAAATGTAATCGAAAGTGATAACATGTTTATTTATTCAATACAGTATGCAATAATATCTGGTATAAAATGCATTAAAATGCTCATTCTAATGGCGGAACGTTGGGATTGTCAACAAAACTGGGACTATTTTCCCGATCCTTTCGGATAGTAGCTGACGAATTTTTTACTTTCATGTCTCCTCGATCACGAGGGCATTCTGATTTTGTAATATTTCGCCAATCAACTGTTGCTTTGGAGGGTCCAACTTCAAGGAGATTTGACTGGGTTTCGTTCGATTTCCTTTAGAAATGAAATACATTATTATTTCAATAGAGTGAATAATACGAATCGCGGCAAATCTCAAAAGAAATTTCGGCCCTTCAAAGCCCCAATTTGAAATCAAAATCATATGAAATTTTAAAGTGGTACGTTCTTCTTGCATTAAACTAATTAATAAAATAAGTTTAAGAAATGAGAAAGGTCTTAAATCCAGTGGTGCAACCTGGACAACGTATTCTCATACGCCAAAAAAGTCTATAAACCGGCAGTTGACTTGTGACTTCAAATTACCATGACCCCATTGTATGTCATTTTCAACTACTTTCACAGTACTCACCTTATCCTTTTCTCCACTTTTGTGTCTGTCTCTTTAACATCTTTGAATCACTCTTCTGTCCCTCCCCCCTCTCGAACTTTTCTCACTCTGATGTTCCTCCTCTCTCTGAAGCCCGAAGTCAGCTAAAGGGCTAATGATATCTATCTATATCTATATTTCAAAAATTGGGCCTAAATTCCACTTTCCATTCAACGATCTACAATATTAAGCTCCCGCAGAATTTAATTTAAACCGAAATGACCATTGCTTAAGCTCACACAAAGATCCTCAAACTCCCCTATCAAGTAAACGAATGTAGAAATCTCTACACCCATTTACTATTGATATAACTTCACTGATCATTTGGTTTGAAGTACTTCCAGATAGATAGTGATGGCGACTTAGGTATTGCTAAATAGGGAGCCATAGAAGCCCATCTAATTATTTATAAAACTAATAACACTCGGAGTGTGTGATATCCACCCCCCATCCGTTAATTCACAGCAGTAAGAGGGGTGTAAAATGCGGACCCCTCGTAAGGGCTTCTCAAAGACACCTACCCCCTACGCCATGATTAACTCGGTTTGGGACAAGGGAACGTGAGTATGATTGACTTCCTTCTATCGCCACGTGTGTCTTGTTCGTTTGTCAAATCACAATGTGAGATTAAGTGGTCTCTATGGGGTCTTGTGCGTAGTTCCTAATGTGGGGCACGCCTTAATGCCATTAAGTAGTAGAGAAGTGGTAAAATGTGTTTCTCCAATGAAGAAATTTTAGGACACCATCATACTGAATAAGCTGGGTGCTACAAAAGAGAGTTCCTTCGCGATTATCTAAGTGGCTTTAACGATGATAGAAATGCTCAGACAAGAACATCTTCCAATGATTGTTCGAACTCCATTGAATTCAAAGCTTTGGGTATAGAGAAAGAAATTCCTTTTCAATGTACATGCTGAGCTAAGGACGGGACATCACGTGATCTATTTGATAAAAAAGAAACTCATCTTATGTTGCCTTGATCTCGATCATTTTAACCACTAGGGTTGACCATCCCAATGAAATTCTAATTAAGAAATTCGCTCTAAAAGTTAATAGAACCCTTTTTTGCAGTACCTAGATCTTTGCTATCTCCCTGACTTTGGGAGCCCTGTTGACAAGTGTGTCGTACTTATATCCATCCAAGCAATGGTGATTGTCGAAAATTACTAACATATTATCTAGAAAGCATTAATTTTTTACGTAATCTTTGTACGGAAGAATGACTGCGCACCGCTTCTTCAACAAACTACCCTTTCTTGTCATTTAGGTATGACTCAAAGTTACAGTGAATTTTTAGTGAACAACATCTAGATAATAAAGTAAATAAAGTTTAATTCTTCACTTTTAAAGCGTTCTCTTCACTTTGAACCATTACTTTCGTTTATTTTCTAATCATCTCGATGGTCGTTAGTAGTTTTTACGCTTAAACTTTTGAAATATGCCCTAACTAAGGGGAAGTTAACAGTTCGAATACTTCTAACTACCTCTTTCAAGGGCTCTCTAATTAACTTCATGCTTTCATGGTTACAGTTAGCTCAATTAATCTCCCACTCTCTCTCTCTAGCGCTTTTTGTATCTAATTAATGGTCTTAAAAAGTCAATTAAAAATGTCTTCTTTTTCGAGAGAGAGAAAAAAAACGGGAAAAATTGAAGAAGAGAGAGAGAGAGAGAGGGAGAGAGAGATTAGACTTACTCCTCTTTCTCTCCAGCCGACTGCTTTGTAAGATCAGTCAGGCGTTTCGATTTTGTTGTACTCAAGGATTCGATTACTGAAGAGGTCTGCTAAACAAATTAAATAAGAAAGCACTTTTTTAAACCCTAATGTTAGAATTATTTCGGTAAAAATGTGCAATGCAATTCAATAAAAATAAACCATATATATGAGATATAATAAGTGGCTTAACGGCGCATATACGAAATTTCTTTTAAAATAAGCATTTTAAAAAGTTAGATAATTAGTAATTATACATTATTATAGTCCGCGATTAAAGCGACGCGGAATATTTAATGTTTTATTTTTCGGGCTTTTATTTGTAAAATTAGCTGACTGATTTTGATTTTTTTGCTTGAAACACGTTTTGGACACAAAGTTGAGAAGTGTGAATGTCAGCATAAGAAAGGAAGTTAATTGATTAACTTCACTAGAAACTAAATTATCCATTAAGTTCAGGAAATCTTAGATTCAAGGCTTATTTTAACGAACAGATTGAACAAACAATGTATCCTCATGAGACTTAAGACGACAAATCATTATAATAAGAGAATTCGGAGCTAAATTACAAAGTAACAGATAACAGTCTACCTTGACTTTGGGCATTCGAATGAGTAAGCGGCCAGTGACTCGAGATCTCTGAACTGATGATCTATCTGGATGAACCTCTTCATGTAAAGCTAATTGGAATACCTTGAAAAGGAATAGTGTCTGAATAAGACCAAAATTCGTTTCAACGAGCAGGAATATGTGAATTACTTTATTTCTTAGTGTTACACGAATATAATTCGTTTGAACATCGCAGTCTATTAAGCTTGTATCCAAATTTCTAGGAATGAAGAGGGTAAATCATGCTAAGGGGAAATTCATTTGATTTCATAAAATCCAAACACTTACTTAAATGCTGCTAGATCCAAAACAAAACATTGACCAAATTCCGTATTTTCTTCATACAATTTGAAGTCGACTCTGAAAAAAGTCATCAATCAGTGAGCAACTTCCATTCATTGGACAATATGCTTTTAAATATACATTACTTATTGCTTATAAGTAGAATGCTAAAGAGTGCTTTCTGCAAAATATGTATTTATCTTTTACCTGCTTTAGCAAAATGTAAATACCAGCTGATTAAGCAACCGCATTTTAGAAAAGTTTTACTAAAAACTTGCTTTGGCTCATTTATATTGTAAGGGCGACCATTTTCCGCGAAGAACACGGTTCGCCTAGGTTTGGGGTTTCTAAGCGCAAAAATAAAAGAAAATTACGAAAACAATAGCATCGTGCCTAGGAAATTCACTTACTCTAACTTAGATGGTGCACCAGATTTCTGCTCTTTTTGAAGTTTAAGAAACTCATAAGTTTCAAGTCGAGATTCAGGTGTATAAGGACTTTTTTCATTCCAAAATTCCGCAGCTAACTTTTCAATATCTCTACGGGATACAAGGAAGATACGATAAAAACTGAAAAAGAAAATGTAGTTCTAATACCAAAATTTCGGAATAACCCATCATTCTCCTTTAATTTTCGCTCGAGTGCCTCTTTTCTTTCTAACGCATGGGCTTTTTCCTGAACCCGTCTCTCGAAATACGCCTTTTGGGCATCTAATATTGACTTGTAGTGAGTCGAAATATTTTGAAAGGATTTAATACGCTCGGCCTTGCCTATTTCCTCGCCGTCCAAAAGCTAAATTTGTTTATCAGAAAAACATATTAAAGTAAACTTTTAGCTGGGGTAAAGTGGCGATAACAAATTCCCGATATCCTTCATATTCTGTACACGGATTACCTATTAAGTATCTTCAGAAGTAAGGAGAATTTTTACAATTACAATTCTTCCAGGTGCTCCAAGTTGATAAGATTCTCAACACTGATTAAATCTCCGATGAAGTTTGCCGTTAACTCTAACTTTTTCAAAGACTCACAACCTAATATATATAAATTTTTTATAAAATTTACCTTCCAAATTTTCAATAATTTCTATATTATTCAGCGCTAGGTTTAGATATTCTAACTGCTTCAGTCGATTTAGATTTTCTAAATTGATGTCAACTGGAATAAAAACTCACCTATTCTGGAAATCAGATTATTTTGAAGATACAATATCTTTAACTTTGTGCAGTTCTTGTTCAAAAATTCAATCCTTAAATACATAAGAAGTTGCTATAATTTACTTCTCTATATCTTGTTGATGCAGTGTGAGCTCTTCCAAGGTACCGATTTCTCCTTCGTTATGCTCAGCTCGTTTCCTAACTAATTCTTTCGTGACTTCGAGAATATATATACAGTAACTATAACTTACTTCGCGACATCTTTCATTAAGAATTAACCTTGAAGAATTTTTTCAGCACCCACAATTTCTGTTCCGACGCAAAAGAGGACTAGAAAAACATTTCGCTTCAATTTGCTAAATATTTTTTTTCAAAGTGAAATGTGCCAAAGATATAGATAATATTTTCCCCCTATTTATTTTCAATTGTTATTTATTGTAATTTTAAGATTAGTTATGTTTTAACGTTCATGCGTATATAATCACTATATATAAATTAGCTTTGAGTTGATCCAAGGTAATTGATCAGTGTCTGTATTTATCATAGTTAGGTTAACATTGTATTTTTAAGCTTTTAGAAAACTCTTGTTCAAAACGATGGGTTAAATGCACTGAAAAGCTGCTTTATAAGATTATTACTCCAAATTATTCTCCAACTCAAACCAGTTACTTTTCATAAGCATCGGAAGGCAGCTTTGGAATTCCTCCTCTTTCAGAAATAGCTTAGTTTCAGTCAAAGGATTAAGAGACAGATTTTTGTGCCAAGTTCACTGGTTCCTCTAGTAGCATCAACTCATTTTTATTATTCCCTTTCAAAACCATGCATACCGTGTTACCCATGCACAGTTCGGACTGTATACGTAGCGTCGTTCATACTAAGAAAGTGGAATGAAACTGATGAAGGTAAGATTTCAGTAGAGAATGAAGCTCTACAATGAGGTACAACGGAGGATTTTTCAAGACACCATTTTTTAGAGAAAGGGCTATCTTAAGAATCATTGGCTCAAAACCACAAGTTTCCACTCTTTAACTGTTAAGTAATGATCAACTCTTTTTTCTTTGTCAAGATACTTGTGTCATAAGTCTAATATGCAACTGCATAATTTCAAAATACAATTCGGTATCACTAGGATTCAAAACAACACATAAGCCTCCGCAAAGATAGATCGATTAATATTTATATGGTCAGTATATACAACCAAAATGTTATTAAATTAGTCTGAACAAAACTGAATCAAGAGATGGAAAATAAAGAATCAGTTTAGATTTGATCGGAAAGTAATTATAATTATTTTGGTTTATATACCATAAATTTCTTTATTATGTTTCATCTATATTTCATCGTCGATGTCTTTATCTGTTTATTAATACATATTTAATTATCTAGATAAAATTGGCACACGAGTTATTGGACTGAATTTTGTAACTATTTTCAAGGTATCATCCCGACTAATGATTTTTGATCTTTTGATATTGCTTAATGTTTGCTAACAATATCAATGTAAATAAGATAATATATCAGCATGTTACTCTAAATACGATATTGAACATGAGATTCTTATAGAAATGCACCAGATTTTTTTGGATTAGTTTTTTTCATAAAGTTTCTCAGCGTCATTTATCAAAATCCCTTTCGCTAGGTAAGGTAAGCAAAACTCGAAAAAAGAGATTGAACAGATTTTGATCTGAGAATAATTATATTTAGGTAAAAGCCCTATTTATTTCTCTGCTTTATATCTTAATTAGTGTGTAAGACTTAAAGGACTGAGAGCGAAATAATGCCAGTAACGATTTTATGAATTTAATTCAGCAGATCAAAAGACAGGTATCTGTAGTGGATTGCTACACTAATAAGCCTTGACTATGCTCAAAAATCTCTGTGGAGGATTTTCATATATTTGGATAGACTCCAAGACTTAGAAAAGCTGTCGCAAAGGCTAAAGATGAAACAGATGGATGACTTGGGACATCTTTATTTGCTATAGTGTGTTAGCGTGACAGCGTGATATGTAATGTATGATGTGGAACGTAATCCTTATGTACACTTTCTGGCATGGGGACCGCGTATTGACCTTGGTCATTGATTGGTCGGATAATTACGTACTGACTTTGGCCGTTGATTAATCGAGAGGGCCTCCATTCAGGCATGCTTATGTTATGTTCCTACACAGAAAAAGTTAAAAGACTTTAGGGAGGTGATTACAAGAAAATTGTAATTAAATTTTTAAGATTTAGGGCATTAACATTTTTTAATATGATAATATAAGTCAAGTACAATATTAATAATGGTCGGTGTGACAGTTCTTGCCATATATCTAAGGCAGTTTGACATCTATTTATTGCTTAAAATGCATGAAAGAATATAAATTAATTAGGTTCGCTTTTTAAACACATACATATTTAGGCTGGTTTAAATAATTGCGGAATTTACTACATAATTTATATCGAAGACCCGAATGTTCATCGGTCATTTTCAGATTTTCAATGTAAAAAATGAACTTTATTGATATCGAAGACTCTAGTGTCAAAATTTTCGATATAACAGTCAATGAACTTTAAATTCTTGATTTCACGTCTCTAAAATAAGCTAATATTTTTCACAATAACCTTAATTGAAAACTTTTATTGTCAGCGGACAACCGGTCTATTCAAGCCTTAATAAATGTCTGAAATCGGCCTCGCCAACATGCAGGTTAGGCGTTTTCCACACCAAAGATACAATACGGTATGTTTTCGAAATAAGAGTAAATGTTGATGGCATATCTAAAAAATGGCATTTTCGAATTATTGGCAATAATAATCAAATGATTTCACAAGAAGGAAATACAATGCAATCTTTTTTATCCTTAACTTATTAATTTTAATAACGTCACAGCAGAGTTTTTTTATTAGAAACACTTATAAATCAATAGAGCATTACACCAAAACAACATTTTCACTTAGCAAAGTGAATAATAAATTTGTAAAGTTATTGATTAGATGATTATTTAAATCAAAATTCGTATCATACCATGATCAAAATGAGCTGTTATACCATTAAATAGCGAGATTTCATCTAAGCGTCTTATTAGGAATAAATAATGAGTGAGCAACTCTACATAACCAATCAAAGCAATCAAATCAATGTAAGACATTATAAGAGAAAATGGAGAAATACAGCTCGAAAAGATAAAGAACGCAAACAAATGAACACAGAAATGGCTCAAAAAACTTTACAGTACATCAATTTTAAAAGTTCTCATTTTAAGCTAATTTAATGCCGTGAACAATTGTATTTCATTCGAATGTTTTAAATTCTATTTTCGTGGATAAATTTATACCGTGTTATTTAGATTGAGCAAGAAGATCAGATTAACATGTTGTAAATAAAATCTATCCAACGGAACAAATTTATGAAATTAGCTTTGAGAAAAGGCTATATAAGCTATGTTGGAATAACATTGTAATTAAATTGGTTGTGGTTTAGGTTAAAATTAAGAATATTTATATGCTATTAGAATCTCATGCGCTAGAGTAATTTAAATATCGATAATATTCAGTATTAAATTTTCAATAAACCTGTTCTGAGTAATACGTCCCTTTCTTTACAATATTCGCTGTAGCTTAGCTATTACAGATAAAGGAGATACTGCCATAGAGAGAATTATGAGTTGAAAAGACTTTACTAGTGTATCAGAATGCTTCAAGTAAAAATTAGTATTAATATATGGTCAAAATTTTCAAGTGAATAAATAAAGCAAAACAAAAAACAAGTAATATGATAGATGAAACGCGTCAGAAAAATTGCAAAATTTAACTTTGATCGGTGTAGAATAATCTACTTTAAATTGTTTCTACTGTTGGTTAATTCAACTTTTATCTATATTTGTTTTAGCCATTCTATTGAAGTTGTTTTCACGTGGACTCCATTACATTAAACTGCGTGGTTGAATATGGTGTGGTTCTTTTCTTGATGAATGTTTTGACATTGTTCAACTGATTATTAATGTTTTCTTTATCTGTTTTAGACACAGAAGAAAAATAGAAGTAAATCTATTATTGCTTAGTCTTCAATATCTTTAAATATTGTGGTTCGTTCTAATTTGCTGTTATTTAGATTCTACCTCATCCACTAAATCCAATGGTTCCGTTGCGTCAGCTGAAAAGCTTGTAGCTAAGAAGCGCCAGCGTGAAGAAGATAGTGAAGATGAAATCGAACAAACAGAGGCCGAAATGCAGCGTGTTAAAAAACTGAAGCAGATGCTGGAGATTGCTGGAGACAGCGAGGACAGTGACGATTACAGCGAAAGCCAGGATGAAGACGAAACTGAGGCTTCTGATGACGACGATTATGATGACGAAGATGACAGCGAGCATAATGGAGATTCTGAAGAGGAAGTAACTGAAAAAGTGGAGACATCTAAGAAAGCATCCGGTAAGAAAGAAAAGAAACAAACCCAAGCTAAGGCTAATGGAGTTGCTAAGATGGAAACCGTCGATAATAAGAGTCAAGTCATCGGTAAAATCGCAGAGCAATTTAAACCATCCGCCTCAAACGTAATGCTTTTCAATATTCCGAGAATCAATGAACCCGAGCTCAAAGGATTTCTTTCGAAGAGAAATGTTAATCCCGAATCGATTTGTTGCATCAACGGACCAGTTGTTATGCTCGGCTTTAGCAATGAAGCCGCAGCCAAAAAAGCTCAAACAACCTGCTCGGGAGCAGCCTACAATCAAAGCGTCTTAGCTGCAATAACTGCCTCCGGGGAAGATTTGGCCATGATAAGATCAAACAAAAACCCCAATCCCAGCAAGACTGATGCCCCACTGACGTGTCTATTTGTTACGGACCTCCCAAAATCAGTCTCTGAAGAAGAGCTGGTCAAAGCTACCGGTATTGTACCAAAGCACGTCCGTCTTATCACCTCAGGCCGCAAGAACAGAATCACGAACGCCTGCTATATCGATTGTAAGTCCGAGACAGATGCCAAAAATGGCCTTCAATCCCTCTCCAAACACAGCTTTGTTGGTAAGACTGTAAAGGTCTTCCTTAAACCCCAGTTTAACTTCAACCCTGTCACTGAAAATTCTGTGATTGTTGCCAACGTTCCCTTCAGTGTTGACATAGATGCTATCAAGTTAGAATTCCCAAAAGCACAGAAGGTTGAACTAACTAGGCGCGGTTGTTTTATGCTCACGTTCGAAAGCGCTGAGATAAGAGATAAGGTCGTCAAAGAATCAAAAGGAAAGGTTATGGATGGTCGTGAACTTAGGTTTATCACAACCGAAAAGACTCAAGGCGATGTTGCAGTCTTTGTCTCTAATGTTGAATTCTCTGTCACTGCTGAGGAACTCAAGGCGGTCTTTCCCGGTTGCAAGAATATCTTTATGAAAAAGAGCAAAAATGGCAAATTTAATGGGCAAGTGCCGTACAAACTTTGCAGGTTATATTATTTGTTTATTAGTATTCGTTATCAACCCTTTTTCTTACTTTAGAAATGCCATTGTTTACTACCCTACAAAGGAAGAGGCCGAAGCTGGAGCTAAACAGGCTGCTGATAAGGAAGTTAAAGGTCGTGCAATTAAAGTCAAGATGACAAGTGCTGAATCCAAGACTGAGTCAGAAAACTCCAAAACACGTAAGCTGCTTTCTCTTCTTTCGTTCCATAATAGGTGTTAGTCCGTAATCTGTTTACGCATTGTCCCCCTTATTTAAAAAAAATTGAGCTACTAATCAGTTTGAATTTCGTTCAATCGTGATTTTATAAATTTAATTTGTTGTGGTTAAAAGTAAATTACATTTTCACTTTTATTAGGATTACTTAGTAATCTTACCATAACTTATTGGTTTTTAGAATCTAAACCAGCATCCCAAAAAGCGACTACACCCAAGTCGAAAGTCGAGGAGGTCAAGAAGCCAGTTCAAGTGGGTAGTGATTCCGAAAGTGAAGAAGACGATGATGGAAGTGATCCTGAGTCTGACGATGCCGATGAAGATATTACCGACGGTGATGATTCGGAGGATCAGGATGATGATAATGATGATGATGATGACGACGACGATGTTGAGGATGAGGACGATGATGAAGATAACAGTGAAGACGATGATGAATCAGAAGAATCTGTTAAACCACCTGAACAAAAGCGAGTAAAAATGGATGCACCTGAGACTAAGTCTCCAAACTCTCGACCTCCATTTAAACCACGTGGCCGCGGAAATGGTGATTTCCGAGGTGGAAATCGCGGTGGTGGTTTCCGAGGTGGTAATCGTGGTGGTGGCGGTTTCCGAGGCGGTAACCGCGGTAATGGTGGATTCCGAGGTGGTCGGGGTCGAGGTGGAAATGGTGGCGGATTTCGCGGAGGCAATCGTGGACGCGGTTCATTCAAGAACTAAGAAGTCATTTTAAATTTCCACTCACCCATTTTGTCTCTTAAACCTCATGTGTCTAAAATAAACTGTATTTGTAGTATTTTTTCGTCTTGATCTTTATCAACTTGGGGGGCGTGGCTAAGAAACTTATTTTGTGTTGTAGATGTATTCAAGAAATTCTTCCGCTCCGAAAGCGCAGACTCTTTGTGTCTTCAATTATCCTGAGGGAATGGATGAGAATGATCTCTACGCATCCTTTCCGAATGCCCTCAGTATTTCCAGTCAGCATAATGGGTGTGTAATTTTTGACTAGTGTTTAGCTATGCTCTGATTGTGTGCAGAGTGGCTAACTAACCGTTTGAACTCAATCCGGTTTCTTGCTAATTTGCATGACGTAGTGCTGAAATTGAGAGAGAGAGAGGGGTTGGGTTTTTGGGCCCGTAGTTGTTTCAACGTCTTTATATGTCTTCAGTTCGTCTCCTTCGTGCCTGATTAAATTTCAAAGTGATGCAGATTGCCAGGCTGCTTATGCTGAGTGCCAAAGTGGGAAAATGATTGGAGGTCGTCCTATTCAAGCTACTCTTGTTCCAGCGGATGATCGTAACCATTCCCGTGGGGGTTACGGAGGTAGTAGTGGTTCAAGAGACCACTACTCGCGTAACGATCGCGAGGGTGATCGTGGTTCACCTAGACGTAGTCATGGAACCAGTGGCGGTTCCGCAAGCGCTGACTGTGTCCTCACACTTCGTAATCTCGCATGGTCTGTCACCGAGGATGATCTCTATCAGGAGTTCCCTCGCGCTGTTTCCGCAAATATTAAAATGGATGAACGCAATCGCTCAAGAGGGTAAGTGTTCAATAACCATTCCTAGAAACCATTTCTCATCTCTAATTCCGCTTTTCTCCACTATTTGCAGCTTCGGATCAGTGACATTTGCAAATCCTAGTGATTGCCGTAATGCTGAGGCTGAATGTCAAGACAAACAGATGAATGGACGTCAAGTTCGTGCAGAGATTGGGCATCCTGTTGAGAGAAATCGCGATGACTTCCGAGGTGGAAGGGGTGGTGGACGCCCATATTTTGGTGGGTTACTTTGACACTACTCTTTTTGGCTTCATATTACTTTTTGGGAGTTTTTCTGTCTTTGCTCAAGGTATAGCATTTACAGTTGGGATAAGCCATGATTTTCGTGCACCGTTCACTTTCAGATGCATTTGCGCAAAAGTGTCTGGTTTTCAATTGTATATCCTGGTTCATTCTCATGATCAGTTATGATTGTGATGCAAACACCAGGTATATCGAGTCTTGAAAGTGTTCATTCGTTCGCGGAATTGAGCCTTCAGATATTAACTTGTTGAACTGATTAATTTTGAACATTTCGTAAAACAATGGCTACATTTATCAGTTCTTCCAAATACTCGATGTTAGGTTGCTAATGCCATATTTTATGCTCTTGTTATAAAGCTCTGTATCAAGCCTTTCCCCTTAAGATCGCTACAATAATGGTGGCGGAGGCAGACGTGGCAGCTATGGCGGGGCTGGAGATGACGGACCCCCACGCCGCCGTTTCGATGATGTTGATGGTGGAAGATCTTCATGGGGATCCCATAGTGGTGGTGGCGGTGGCGGTGGAAGAGATTTCGGAAACCGTCGTGGTGGTTTTGGAGGCGGTGGTGGTTTTGACAGAAACTCTGGAAGGGGAGGGTTCGAAAGACCAGGACGTGAGCGCAGTCCAACTTCATCGGGTCCGGTTGGACGTCGTCCACGTGGTGGTCCCGCCAGTGGAGGCGCCAGAATCACTTCAGCAGTAATCCGCCGAATCCCTGGTGACTCTTCGGACTCCGATTTCGATAATCGTGGCTAAACTTGTATTCTGTCACCTACTTGACTCGGTTTATCAACATTGTTGTTTTATTGTACTTGTTAAATGTAATTTTATCATTAAATGTGAGTCGATGTTTCAATATCTGCTCGAATTTCACAAATAATCGTGGACTGGACAATACTCAACAATCTTATTTGGTAAAATCCCCTTTTTTATGGAAACGCTCCGAAAATGAGCGTTAAAAGGCGTGGGAGCAGCGCATGGAGTGAGTAGGGTTTGCCACAAGACCTAGTCACCAAAATTCAATTAGGGCTGCGCTAACCATTCAGCTGCTGTTGGGATGCTGATTAGCTAAGTGGTCTCTGTGCTCACCTGCTCGCTACGCGATCCAAAGTGTTCGAGTACGCGTGAGATTCCTCTGAACATCTTTGAGGACGCTGTGCGTTCCAATATCCGAAGGTTGGATTTTATTATTGTTATGCATCTTTTATTTATTTCGCTTATCTTCTAATGGCATATACATATATTTCAAACGCGTTTAATAAATATATAGGCCTTTTAAATTCCAAAGTAAAATCTAACATCTCCTTGCTTGGTGCATTTAAGTACCATTGTAACACTCAAGATCTCATGCACTCATTAATCCTTCTCAATATGAGCCAACTTTCAAATTTAATTACTCATTTTGAACTATTTATTGTCCTTCTTACACCAACGTGAACGGGGTTAGGTGAAATACACAGGTCTCCGTAGAGATATCCATAAATTTGTGTAGTACTTCGGGTGCAAACGTGAGTCCTTACAGAAGTTCATACTCAGATCGCAACAAAATTCGTAAATTCAGGAGTGAACTCTTGAACATTTCACTTATGACATCATTCTATACGAGTTCTTCTCTCATGACCTTCGTGTCAATAAAGTGAGCATGCATTGAGAGTAAAAATGAGGTGAAGGGACTAAACCGATCATCATAGTAAAATCCGGTGAATAAGCGCTGAACGTCGCAACTAAATATTGTTCAACCTGATTTCTCAAATCTAATTAAATA